AACCCCCGGGCCCTGTTTGGTTTTTGTTTTGTTTTGTTCTCTCTCTCTCTCTCTCTCTCTGTGTGTGTGTGTTTTGTTTGTTTGTTTTGTTTTTTCCAGTTTTGTCGGTCTCCTGTCCCCTCCTGATCCTTTTAGGTACCCTTTCTGGTTCCGAACATTAAAAAAAAAAAGAACAAATACATTGCCTCAAGCATTCTAGACAAGTGCTCTACCACTGAGCTACATCCCAAGCCTCCATGTGTCTTTTCTGATACCCGTGTACCTAAAAGCATCACTGTGTGACCTCCCGAGATTTGTTGGCTCATTGGTTGCTGCATGCATTAAGTTCTGGACCAAACTTAAGTTTTCCAAACTCTGCTTTTTAAGCTTTTTATTGACTTTTTTGTGTGTGTGAGTATCACAACATGCACCCCAGTCCCTCTCATCTCCCCATCCCTTCATATCTGCCCTGTGCCCTTGTATCACCCCCTCAAATAATAAAACATACAAACAAACGAAAAAGAAAGCGTAGAAAACATCTTGTCGTAGAAGCTACAGTGTGTCACAGTGTGTCACACAGTCTACCCTTTCGTCCATGCATCTTTACCTGCAAGTGGTCCTTGCGCTGATTTGTTGGTCTGGTACAAGGCCTTTGGATTCTGCTACTCTATCGGTACTGGAGCCTCACTGGGACTCCTCTCGGATATCCTGTGGTTGCCCTGTGTCATGGAGATCTTGCAGCTTTACTTCTGCAGGACCGGCTCTTTCACATGCTCCAGGAGTTCATAGATGAAGTAGGTGTTTGGGGTAGGCTCCACCCCTCACTGACAACAACACTTGGGAGAGTAGGGGCCTGGACCTTGCCTGGGCAGCACAGTAGAGCCGACTGTGGGGAGGGGGTGTGGGTGAGCTGGTCCCTAGGGCATGAGCAGGGGCGTGGGCACCACCACTCATCTGTCATGAGGTTGCATGCGTGGAGGGGTGATGCCCTCTTTCCCCTTCCCCTTGCCACTTGCTTCAGTCAGGAGATCTGGCCCTGGGGCCATGAGAGCGAGAAAGCTGGCCATGTACCTTAACCACTAAGACGCTTGGGAGAATCGGCCCTGCGCCTTGCCTGGGCATCCCAGTAGAGCTGGCCCTGATGGCCAAGGCATGAGTGAGCAAGCGCTGAGGGTGTGAAAATGGGAGAGCTGTCCCAGGCCCTCACTGGCTGCAGCACTCAGGAAAGCGGCCCCGCACTTGGGCTGGACAGCACAGTAGAGCAGGTTCTGGCGGCCTGGGTGCGGGTGAGCCAACCCTGAGGACATGAGAGTGCCTGTGCCTCTGTCCCTTACTGGCTGCCTAATTAGGTGAGCCAGCTGGGGCCAGGGCTAGAGAGTTTGCTCTGGTGTGGCAGGGTGTGGGAGAGCTGGTGGGCTGGCCAACTCAGCTGCCACCCAGTCCCAGATCCAGGGCCCGGTATAGCCTTGGGCATCTACATGATCGAAGATCAACCCAGACCAGTGATGTCTACACGGCCTTTAGTGGACAGAGCCCTGCTGCTGTATGGCAATGGATTTGTACGTGGCCCTCAGGGGCAGCAGAAGCTGGGACTTGAGCATGGCCTCAGGTGGCAGTGCTGGCTACTCACAGCAGACAGTTTCTCTTCATTCTCATGTCCCCAGTTCCATCTCTCTTCATGGTATGCAAACTGTTCCACTTCTCTTTCTGTTCCATCTGTCCACCAGATACCTGAATGTCACAGTGGCTCCCAGTGTGGGTGGGCCACACAGCCAGAGCACCTCTGTGTGTCCTCCACCTGCCCAAGCCACGTGGTGTGGCTGCAGGCAGGCCTTTTCCCAAACACTTAATAAGTTTGTTCCCTCCCCAATTTTGCTTTGCTTTGCTTTGGCTGCCTGTACCCTGCATGCATGCTTTGCTGAGGAGAGTCCGAGCCCCTAGAGAGTAAGACTTCCCTGTGCCCTGTGCTCTGTGCCCTTTGCTTCTGGCATCTTCCACCAGCTTCTTCAGAAGCTCCAACAGGACTAAGCCGACTTTTAGGAATCTGAGTCAGCTTTCTTCTCATTCTCCCCATCATTCTTCTACTATAGAGCTTCCAAATGTGGGACCCAGAGCACATTCTTATCGGTGCCATCCTGGACTGGACATGTTCTTATTCAGTGCCTTGCTGGGCAGCACTTGGTGTAAAGGAGGAAGAAAAAGTGAATGGAAAAAGATACATGGTTGGAGTCCTGCCCGCCTTGTGAGAACTAGGCATAAGTCATAATTTTGGTCCTGTGCCTTGGAAATGTGTGTGTGTGTGTGTGTGTGTGTGTGTGTGTGTGCGTGTTTGTGCATCTTCATGTGAAACAGGGACTTATGAACTTGGGAAGGGGTTTTGAGGATGAATGCATGTCATTGGCTGGGACCAGGATGCTGGCAATGGGGAAAGAACAGGTGACAACTTCAAGTGACTGACCATCTGTAACCACATTGGTATCACATGCTCCTGAGGCAGGCATGGAAACAGAGAGAGAGCTTTGTCCCACATCTTCCGTTCTCAGGATGAGATGTTTAAGTCTTAAGTTTGAGATTTCTGGGGTTTGAAGGTAGGGTCCACGAGCCCCACACATATGACAAAATACATGTTAGCACTGAATATTAACACTGGTATGCATGCTTCTGTTTGCTAACTCATAAACTGTCCACGTGTGTCAGTGAGCACACACACATTTCTACCAGCTCATACGTCTGTGGTGGAACATTTATACATATGGGACATACGAAGCTGTGCTACTGTGTGTGTACTGAGTTAATGGGGACAGAACACAGACTCTAACTAAGATCATGTGCTCCAAAAACTGCCCACCTGGGAGTAAGCCCTGACCTCAGCATTTAAAATCTATAGTAGCCCCACCCCAAAGATGATTTGCTCATTTCTAAATTGGGGAGAATAATTGTACCTACCTTCGGTACTTAAGGTGAGGTTAGGATGTCCATAGTGCACGTTAAAATTATTGATAGTTGCAAGGTTATTCGTGTTAGTAATAAATATGTAGGTGGCTGATTTGGAAGGTTCAAGTGTGGCTTTTTGTATGTGAAGATATGACCTTGGGTACATGACCTTAAGAACCTACTAAGGTTCATAGATATGCATTAGTATGCATAGCTATTAAACATTTTATGTTAGTGTGGATGTGCATTGAGGTGCACAGGACTGGAAAACCAAGGACAAGTATGAAGGTATCTGAGTATGGTGTTCTTAAGGATGTTCTACTAGGACTGTCTGAGGGAAAAGGATTGTGCCTTATGTATTATCTTACCTTGAGCATGGGCCCAAGATTTAGCAGTTACTCAGTACATTTATATTGACCAAATGAACAAAGTAGAATGGCTAGTTAGAGACTTATTGTTCAAATAGCACGCTCATTTGGAAAGGAAGAGTAAAAGCGGGTGTAACTAGTTACCTAGTTAGTTATATGGCACATAGGTGGATAGATAAGTTGATAATTGATGAGAGGGAGGGCTGGATAGATGATCGCTATAGACAGATATCAATAGGTAGACAGCAGACATTTATACATCCAACTTTGGTTCTAGTTGGGTGGAATTCTGTCTACTTATTCTGAAGAAGATACTCAAGTTTGCATCTCCCAGGAAGCCCCATTTTGTCCTTGTTGTTTCATGTGTTGTCTTCTGCTTCCTGTGAGGGCCTGATGAAAAGGGAGCCAAGGATGGAAAAGTAGAGTCTCCTACCTAACACCTACAAGAGCCTGCTTCCTTTCGCCTCTTCCATTGAGGTTCATCTACAATTACACTTAACAGGAGAATTGTACTATTTAAAATATTTAAGAGACTTGATCTGGCCCCAAACCTTTCAATTCTACCAAATAGAGAAACTGAGTCATAAAGATTGGAGAAGGTTACCAGTGTCCAGGCCTCTGCTGTGGGCCAGTTCCTAGAAATGCAGTATACGTTGACCTTAAAACTCACAGAGAAACAGAAGCTGCTGTCATGGCGGTCTGTGGAATGCTGAAGAAACAGTCCCATCCATTTGAGACCCACCCATGAGGTTAGTCTCATAGGCTGTTTAGTGTTAGTTGGTCCCATTTACCCAGTCTCAGTTGACAGGAGCTGGGAAAATCCTGACCCAAATAGCATATTGGAGTGTCCTAAGGCAGTGTGAGTGGGGGACAGCAAGGCGGTAGAGCATCGCTGCTGTTCTGTAAACTAGGAAGTGATGTGCAACCGAAATGCAGGAGACACACAGAGATAAGCATGTGTAACCAGCTACGTAGCTTCAGAAAGTGTGACGGATGGAGAGATGGACAACCTGCTGTCTCATGGCTTCTCCTAAACCGATCCCTAGTGTGTAAGCAACTAGGACGTACTGCTTGCCCTACGTCTTCTTGCTCCACTGTCATCACTTTACTTAATGTAATCTCCAAACACAATTAGTAAGGCTAGAATCTGAAAAACCTATATCACTCCCTTTTTGCCTGACTTGGAGTGAGTCTCTGCATCTTGAAACCACATCCTGTCTGAACATGGCAGTGCATGTTCAGCAAACAGACAGGCTTTAGCATTCTTCCAGAAGTTGGAGAGACCTTGTGAATAGCTGGGGGGAGAGGAAGCCTCCTTCGTTGGCCACGTCTTTGTTAAGGTGCCTTGCAATAATTCATTACACATCTTCAAGAAGGGATACTACCTATCTTCCAGGCTTTGTTGCTAGATCCCCATGACAGGGTCAATGCGTCATTTTCTGCCTGGCTTCTTCTGCTTACTCTTCCAGAGCGAGCACACCACAGTGATAACAGCAAGTGCTGTTCCTCAAGGCAATGGCAGCTCTGCATCAAGACAAAGCAGTTCCTCCAGTGTACGGTCCCCAAGTGTAGAGATGTGTGTAGTTCTAGGTGCCATTGTAGTGATGGAGGGCGCGGAGGAATAGTGGTACCAGTCTCCCCATTGAGAGTCTTCAACCCCTTCCCCACAATTACATGTTCCCATGGCAACTGTTTAGACCAGAATGGAAACACATCAGATAGAATTAATGCAAGGGTCAATGTGTTCAATTCATCAGCTGTCAGAACAAGAACATTTAGAAAGAATCATTGGACTTGCCCTCTCCCACCCACTAACAGGACACCTCTACCCAGGAGTTATTGATATGCATTGCATCTCCACTAATTACCAGTACCAAAGAGGCACCTAGCAGGTTTAGGTTCACTTTCTAACTCTCACTAATGAGTGAAGAAGTTGGCATAGGACAAGCTGGCAGGTCCTGAGCATGAGAAAAAGAACAACATAAAGGATAATGCTCTTCCCTTTCCCCAAACCCATGCTAACGCTGAACCAGGTATGTTCACATGAGACACAGAGGGATCCAGCTCAACTAAGGGATGGATAAGAGCCATTGCCAGAGGGAAGAACATGAGCTTCAAGGCCAGATGCCCAGCGGGCTTCTCAGAACAGCCAAGCCAGGAAGACAGGCAGGAAGAACATGGGCCAGGCCAACAGGAACTCTGAAACACAAGAGACATGAGTCAAACGTTGAGCTTTGACACTTAGCAGCCAATGCCAGCTGGCATCCTTGTCAAGTGCGGTAGAAGAAGAGAAAGGCTGCATAGCCCTGGATTTGGTTGGGACAACAACTGTTTTTCTGTTTTCTTCTGGGCACATGGAAGGCAGTTTTCTCAGCCTTCTTTGCAGAAAGGTTGTACCATATGATTAGATCTTGTCAATGAAATAAGGATGGAAACTATAAATTTCATTTGTGGGAGTAATAAAAGTGATAAAAGCCTCCAGCATGTTCTATTATTTGCCAAGTATCCTAGATGTACTCATAGAACATAGTGAGGTTACCAGTAATTACCAGACAGTAGAAGGAGTCTGGGTTTCTAAGGACTTCCTAGAACAGAACTGTATCCTCTAGCACCAAGACACGGAGGATTTGAGGTTATTGGCTTTAGTATCACTTACACATGACTAATCATGAAGAGACAAGAAGATGGGGTAGAGTGAAACACCTCTGGGGCTTGATTATTTAGCTTGGGATCTCAGCTCTGGAGCTACCTGGATAGATCTGAACAAGACACTACACTTCTCTGTGCCCAAATCTTCTTATATACAAAATGCAACTTTTAATTTTACCTATTGATATCTCAGATATCATTGGGTTTAAATAAATCAATTTATATCAAGCATTTGTTGTAGCATTTCTGGACTGGGATCTACAGTTCAGTGGCAACCTACATGCATGGCAAATGTGTGTTCTTAAGTTCAATAGCCAATTCCACAATAGAATAAAATATTAAATATGTGCCTAGAACATGGTAAGCATTGTGTAACTGTTGGTTTATGAAAACTAGACATTGATATTTAATGTGTGCATGCATGTGTGTGTGTGTGTGTGTTCTGCACACTATTATATGTTTAGTGTTAAGGAGGGGAACTATTGGACGGCAGTTGTCTCGTATAAACATGTCAACACCTTTGACACCACTTCCAGATTACAGAATTCCCCCACCCCCAACAATTCGGAGTAACTTGGTAATGTCCTAGAGAGTCTGGAGGGAAAAGATTTTCAGAAACACAAATGTATGACAGGGAGTTTTTACAATGAGACACAGATACATGATCAGTTAATCCTGAAACACCAGAAGTGATTCCAATTGCTGGCAAACCTAGAACCATAGAGCTCTCTGACGGCAGCTTGCTCCCTCTCATCATCGGATCCATCTCCCTCCTCTAGAAGGCTCCAACCTCACAGCCCGCCTGAGAAAACAGACAGACCAGCACACTGGGGAACCATTGTTCCTATCTCTGTGCTAACCTAAAGGAATAACAGAAATGAAGGAGACTTCAAGGCATTTTTTCCCCTGTGCTCTGTGTAATTCACACAATGACTCTTACTTCTTTGAATACCAGTTGAGATTACTAGATGCTTATTTGTTAAATATGTAGACTGCTGCAAAGTTGAGGTCAGAACAGGAAAGGAACATTTTCTTGTCTATCTTTGCTAATATCTGTCTTCTGTGAGATAGAAAAATATGTTTTCCATCCTATCCAAAACACATTCCAAGTCATTCATCAAAACCCCATTCAGATATCTGTGCCATGTGAAACTCTCTTGATTATCTCTGATATGGCTAGTTAGGTCTCGTGCATGCCTGCTCTGTCTACCTGCTTGTCACTTATCATCTTCTGTCCCTGTCTCATTTATTTAGCTGGCTGTTGTTGCCTTTGCCTATAGGGTTCCATTCACCTGATATTTTCTGATCTAGAGAAATTTTCTCTCTGGGTCAAATATCATTTCCTCAAAAAAAGTTCTTCTGATCCATGTTCTCTTCCTACTTGAATCACTGAACCATCAAACATTGTTTGGGCAGGTGGCCATGCAAAACAGAGATTTCATTTCCCAGGTTCTTTTGCAGCCAGGTGTGGGCCACATAGCTAGGTAATAAACAAGGAGCTATAGATGGAGGCATGAGCTGCCAGAATGTTCTGTAACACTCATTGACTTCCTTCATATTCCTCTACCCTACAGCTTGGCTAATTATCTTGGACTATAAGAAATGATGACCTCCCCTGAAAGAGCAAGATGGAAGAAGCTTGAGTCTTTGATTGGTTGCTTGATTATAGACTTTCTTTACGCATAGATTTCACTTATGTGTTAGGGAAATAAACTTCTCTCTACTTTAAGACTAATACTTATGCCTGTAGCTTTCTATCACACCACCCAACTTTCATTGCTAATTAAATTACTTTTTGCTCTTGATTGTCTATTTTTTTTTACCCTGGAACATAATCTCTATGAGGGGAAGGCACTTGTCCAGTCTTGATCAGCATCATTGTGTCAGTTCCTAGAACAGTGCCTGGCTTATAGCCACACTTGGTAGACACCCCCTGTTGAGCAATGGTCTTCTCTGCTAGATTATAGAACCACACTTGGGTTAGCCTCGTTTCACTAGCCAAGTTCCCCAGCACAGAGCCTAGCACACTGAAGGGGATGCATAGATCTCCAGAGGTTGGGAAGGTGGAAAGAAAGATACTTAGCAGCGCTGTGAGAAAAGCATAAGGAAGCCATTTACCTGCCATATTGGGAGTCCCGCTTGAGGCGTGTAGAGTCTGAGCAGCTGTAGGCAAGAAAAGAAAGTGAGGGTCTCCTTGGTCATGCTCTGAGGGCTGCATTTCTGGAGCCATTGCAGCTCCCAATCCTCCTGGACCCGATCACCACCCTCACAGGCAGTCTTCACTCTGGAGGCTTCTGCTAGCTGGCAGGCATATATCTAAGCCCATTCCATGCAGCTTCCACCTATTTTTCCTAATCAGTTTGTGAAGAGAGTGCCTTCATCTCCCATTTGTCTGGTGGGAAGACAGAGGCTCAGCGATGCCGAGGAACTTGCTAAGTTGAGGTTTCAGACAATAGCTGAGCTGGGATTCTAGCCCCGGTGTGATGGTTACTTTCCATTGTCAACTAGAAAGGGTTGAGAGGTGCCTAGGAGGTAGCTAAGTACTGTTTGGGGTGACTGTGAGGAAAAATCAACTAAAGGAGTGAAAGACTGCGCTGAAGGAGTGTAGTACCATTCTACAGCCCGGGAGCCTTGATGGGTTAAAAGGGCCAAAGGTAAAAGCTCCATGAAACTCCTCTCTCTCTCCTTTTCTTTCTCTCTCTTTCTCTCCCTTCTTCCCTCCCTCCCTCTCTCTCCTTTCCCTACTTCCTGGTTGCAATGAATTAAACAACTTTATTCTACCTCACCCTTCTTCTGTGACATTCTGCCCGACTAAAGGCCCAGAAATATGGAGGCAAGCCACCGTGGACCAAAACCTCTGAAATCATGATCCGAAATGGATTCCTCCTTCTTTAAGTCATTCCCTCAGCTATCTGGCCACAGCAATGAACAGCTAACAAACCCCATGTGCTTGCTTCCAACGCGGATACCCATAATTCCCCTTCCTCTAATTGTCCTGTGACACCACACAAGGCTCTAAGCTGAGAGCTCAGGAAAGGGACAGGACCACTCAAGGCAGAACCTTCTTCATGGGGCATCTCAGCTTGTTCATCCCAGAGGTAGAGGTGGGAACAGTGCTGGCCTGAGGCTGCCGTGAGCAGCCAAGCTGATGAATACACAAAGCTGCTCAGCACAGAGTTTGGGGAAATATTATTATTTGACTAGAATTAACATGATTGCATCTTGATTTCTTCAAGGCAGAAAGTTCTTTCTTTTTGGAAGGAGGGGTTCTTGAGTCCTCCATTGAGGTAGAAATAAAAACCCTGACAGTACTATACACACTTACGCAGGATGGAAGAAGAGTTGTAGAGGGGTTGCCTACCTACCCTCCTATCTCCAGAGGTCCCTAGCTAAATTTTGGGAAGCATGTTCACCCTAAGGGACCCTGTGTAAGCTCTAGGGAAAGGCAGTGAAGTCAGACACATCTGGTTTCATTCTAACTCCTGCCATGCCTAAGCAAGTGATCTCAGGTGATCCTGTGACTCTCCCTGAGCCTTTAATTCTAACAAATAAATGGACACAGCCATGGGAGGATTAAGCGTGCTGATAAATGCAAGAGCGGTTTCTAACACACACAGGCACAACCGTAAATGCCAAGACACTTCCACTCATAGAAAGAGACATTTGTTAGTGATGGCTGGACTGAGAACTCAGAAAAACCCAGGGCGGCTGGCACTGGTGACCCCAAGCACCTAAAGTCAGTTGTCAGCACTCGAGTAGCTATCCTTGTACCAGGATGGTGTGCACTTACCTCTCTTAGTAATGGGTCCTAAATCTAGAACCCGGGCTAAGTTGATGGCAGGTCCGTTACTGCGGAGTCGGCTTGTAGAGCAAAGCTGTAGAGACATGGAACTCCTGTTATATCAAAACTTAAACACCTGGTCCCTATGTGCAGACTGCCATGGACTCAGATACCTCTGAACCTGTGACCTAAGCACCTGGCTATCCCATCCTATGGCCTTCTTTTTGGTGCTGTCATCTCTTCCAACTGGGAGAATCCCCAGTCGTGCCTTAACACACTTGGGTTTGAATCTCATCTCTACTCTTTCTTGTATAATTGAGGCAAGTGTCTTCATCTGTCTATTATAATCAAATAGCTGATATCTTGTTTTCTTTAGTTATTCATACATTCATTTATTCATTTATGCATGCAGTCATGTGAGAAGGCCAAGGACTGACACCAAGTGTCTTTCTCTATTGCTGCCCACCTTACTTTTTGATACAAGGTCTCTCAGCGAACCCAGAGCTTGTCATTTTGATTAGGCTGGTGGCCCAGTGAGCCCCCAGAATCGTCCTGTCTCTGCACCCCCGGGACCTGGGTTACAGACACACGCGCCATCATCCTAGTTTTCACATGGGTTCTGGGGACCCGAACTCAGGTTCTTGTGCATGCACGGCAAGTGTTTTTACCACTCAGGCCTTCCCAGCTCTACATGGCTGGTTTTAAATATTAAAACAAAGCATAATGGCAGCAACATATAGACATGCCATAAACACCCAAGGAATACCAGCCACTCAAAACAATGCCCGTTAGGAGTGAAAGTATGGGCACCAGAATCACAGCTCAGATGAGGAACATCTCGCTTTGGGGACACTAGCTCTATGTAGAGTTGTGGGTTAGGGACTTCTCTGAGCCCCAGTTTCTTTATCTGCACAGTAAGGCTTCATTTAGTCATTGTGAGAGCTCAATTAGACAAAAGATGTAGGAGTTTTAGTCCAGTGCCTGACATAGAGAGGGGACTGAAAAGGCCTTATGACAGGCTCACATACAACCCTCATCAAAAGCCTGAGGTCCGGAAATATTCAACATTTAAGGGTTTCTCAGATTTGCAATACTCACAGTCCTTACGAGCTACCCATTTATAATCTGAGAATCGGCAACCCAAAATAGTCCAAAATCTGAAATTTTTAAGCTTCATGTTGGCCCTGAAAAAATTTAAGACTTTGGGATATTTTGGATTTGAAATTTTTGAATCAAGGGTGCTTAACTTGTAAGATCATAATTTTTCATAATAGATGTATGCCAAGGACAGCTGATCTGCTTTGTGAAGAGACAATAATTGCTCATAAATAAGCTGTGGGAATGCTCAATATCTGTCTATCTTCCTTCTTTACCCTCTCCTCTTTCTTATATTCATCTGCACACCCATCTGTCTTTTCACCTCTTCAAACATTCATCCATTCGTTCAACCAACTTTTTTCCTTCTCTCCTCCATTCCTCCCTCCCTCCTTCCCTCCCTCCCTCTCTTCCATCATTCCTTCCTTCTTTTCTTTCTTTCTTTCTTCCTTCCTTCCTTCCTTCCTTCCTTCCTTCCTCCTTCCTTCCTCCCTCTCTTTCTTCCTTCTTTCCTTCCGTTCAGGTGTTTATCCAACCTTGTTTCCATCTGTGTCTCCATCTCTAAACCCAGCATGTATGTGAAGAGCCTACTGGGAGCCAGTCCAAAGAGACACTCACTGGTTCACACTGTTCACGGCTGGAATCACACAGGTGAACTTCACAATGCAGGAAAACTAGGTCATAATTTCCAGCAAACATGAACATCTGTACTGAGAATCGGCTTTCCGAGGACACCCCATTCTCCTCCACGTTGATGGTGGCATCACGTTGATTTGGGCAGCTAGGAGAATGAAAAGGGCAAAGGTATAACTTCTAGCACAACACTGGAGAATGTTGAAGCTCTCTCTACCCCAGACACCTTCCGTCATGCTTTTATGACTTTTTTTAGTCCATCATTCCTCAATAAGTTTATATGGTTTAAGTTTTTGGGTGCACAGTTTCTAAGGTAAGTCAGAATATCACTCTCTCCATTTTCAGGTAAGTGATCCAGGGCTGGTTAATCACTTTTGTTGTGCCTCCATAGTCTAGTTTATTTTTTTGCCACGTTCTTTTTTTTTCAATTTTAGTTAATTTCTGTAGAATTGCATATATATATATATATATATATATATATATATATATATATATATATATATATATATATATATACACACACACACAATGGAATGTGATAATACCTCCATTTAACCCTAATTCCCTATGTATCCTTTGACTGTAAGAAGAAATAGTCACATCCATTTCATATAATTGATATGGAGCACTTAATGAGGCTGCTGGGGACATTTTCTCATCACAGTGGTGGGCATACAGCTGAGCTCAAAAAATGAATATTACCAAGTACCATTAATATGATTTGAATTGTGACTTCCAGGTAGGCATTTTCTTTGTTTTTATCATTAAGTGACATCCAATGATAGCCTACAATATTTGTAATATCATGTTCACTTTAATCTATGTGAACATATATAATACCATCTTTAACACATATATAACATATATGTAATATGTAAACCTATATAATAGATTATTGTTACTTAATTGAGCTATATTTTAAAAGTAAGCTTAATGGGAAAGTTGTCAAGAATCCTGAAATGGAAAGTAATTGGCATTTCCTTACCCCACTCATCAAATTTGTTTTAATACTTCAGGTGAAACTATCAAGAATAACACTCCAATACAAGACAAGATGATTATAACATGTATTGCCAAATTATTTCCAAATGGAGTGAACTAATTTACACCTCTGCCAGCAATGGATGAGATGACATTTTACACAACACTTAGTTGTGACCAAAATAAAATAATAATAATGACCCAGAGTCTCCTGATACCTGTCTTTGATGATGAAGTACTTCAGGGGGTCATTTCTGTCTTCTGTAGGGGTGGCATAGCAGTTCCTCAACAATAACTTAAATGTGGAGGCATCTCCTCTCTCCAAGATGGCGCCCACATAGAGCATAGACTCCACAGGAAGCACCACTTTGGCCCCTTCATATGGTTGTGTGTAGCCCTGGTCTTGGAAGAGGGCCATCCTGACGGTGAACTCTCCTGCCCCATCCACGTCAATATTCAGGGAACTGAAACAAGGAAAACCACAAGAGTAGAAACACTTGGCTTTGACCAGGAAAACAAAGGCAAATAAATCAAGCCCTGTGCTAATATGAAGTTACAGAAAAAAGAGAAACTTTGACTTCTAAATAAACCTGTTGATAATCCATTGAAACAGAGCACTTATTGGCAGCCAAGCTTGTCTCCGGATTTGCACCCCTTTCTCCTGTGTGGCGGGTTCATCAAGCTCTTACTCAAGGAACAAGATTGGTACACAGCACCATCTTATCACCTGAGCAAGAGGGCTTGAGAGCAGCTCTTACAGGCTCACAATTTTTAGCCTTCCTTCCACCCCACAATCTTCAGATGAACCCAGTTTAAATCAGCTTTCTTTCTTTCTTTTTCTTTCTTTCTTTCTTTCTTTCTTTCTTTCTTTCTTTCTTTCTTTCTTTCTTTCTT